CTGAAGATGCTGGCCACAGAGACTGGCGAAATGTTAGGAAGAACAACCCTCAGAACACGGCCAAAGAGCCTGAAAAACCCACAACAACCAGCTTCTAATTGGGTTTGTTTCTTCATTATTCAAAATTGTCATGGGCTCAGAAGGGTTCTCCTGTGATAGTTGTAGAGAGCTATCTTCATGTGAGAGATCAGACTCTGGGATATCTGTGGGGGCCTGTATTCCTTACCCATGTCAGGTTTGGAAGGTTCCAGCACAGTGTTGCTGGAAGACTTCTACAGTGAGCCTATGAAAATAGTTTTTTAAGAAACAGATTCATATTCATTAACTCAAATATGAGCAGAGATCAGAAAAGTTACTTTTTAAATTACAGCCATATCCCGCCCCCAACTAGAATGGCCGCTATCTAGAAAACATACAGATCTGAGACTGCTGGAGATGAAGACATGGTGCTAAAAATTCTGCAGTTTCCATTCAGTCTTTTGTGTTGAGATTATTCTTTTTGTTTGGAAACCATCCATTTGCTCACAAGTTGGCCTTCGTGGAGAAACACAGAGTGCAAGGATAATTTATGTGCCCTATGGACCACTCAGGATTTAGCTCTAATGGTGTCTGTTGGCAAACATCATGAGGACTAATATTGCTTTTGTAATCTTAAGTAGACCCAGTAGGCTCAGAAAAGGACCAAAATTTTGTGAAGAGTGAGTTGAACAGTTATCAAATACATTCACGTTCAAATGCCCTATGAAAACATTAACAACCAAGCTCAGATGATGATCACTTTCCATCTGTCACATAGAGCTGCTGAAAAGGATTAGAAAATAAAACTAATTTACTGGAATTAATATGAATTGAATTTGTGTCATGCAATTAATTGAGAATGTGATCAGGAAAGATTGCTTCACAGTCCGTAGGGCTGAGATTACAGATAGGGAAGAAAAAAGAATCTTTAAAGTGTAGGTATGGGGGAAGAAGGAGGTTCACCCCCTTCTTCCCTTCACTAAAACATTCAGTCCATTTGCCATTTGAATGACAGACTTCTCTGACAATCCTTTCTGTGTCCTTTATGGTGTCACTTTCAATGGCAATTTGGAGGAACCAAAACATGTTGCAAAAATCCAAAAGCTATGCTTGTGTTGCTTCATTAGAGGCATGCCACATGCCCAGAGCACCTGAGGCAATTACGTATCTGCGCCAAATTATTCTTCTGTGCGTTTCAAAACTTTTCTTTCAGCATGTTGCATTTCCCTCACCTCCCTGTTCTAGTCTCTGAAGCACTCGGTCATCAGCCCTCAAGTCCCACAGTATAGGATAATGTTGTTCTGTTCACAGTGTGAAAATTTCCAAATAGATCTTTGCAAATTGAGTGTAACACTGAAGGACAGTGTTTCCAAAATACTTTTGTTTTGTTTTGTTCATCCATGTGCAAAGCCTTTGTTTGTAAACAGAACATTTTATCAGCAGTGGAAACATCCATGGCTCATAATTTCAGAGCTCCTAGAATGTGCATGCACATCCTAAGAGGAAAATATTCCAAACACAATCCACGTGTTTCTTAATGCATTGCAATATCACACTGTTGTTGTCATTATGCGCTTCAAGTTGTTTTCATGGCTGCCCACTCAAAGGCAGTACTGTGGGCTTCCCTGCCCCACCACCTCATTGAAGTGGGCAGCTGTCAGAAGAGGCAGAGGAAGTGTGCATTGCAATAGGTGAATGGGCAGTCGCATTGAGGAAGCAGGGAAGGGAAGTGTGTTTTGGCTGAGGAATGGGTGAACATACAAAGGTGGAAGAGGGGAATGTGTGATGCCTGCTGAACACCTGTATGGGTGCTGTGCTGAACTGGGCTGAACTGCTAAAGTGGCAAACTGTGGTTCTTACCCATTTCCACAGCCAATATATTTCAGGGGCCAATATTTCGTGCTGATACCCATTGATATGCTATCCTAAATTCAACTAGAGTAGATCAGTGAATCAATCAAGTTTAGATAAGGTTTGTATTTGGAAGACTCCATTCATTTAATGGGTCTAATGCATTCAAGATTAACAGTTGAATTTAGGCCCATATCTATTACATAAAGGTGAATAATTGAAAATTAGCTGTGATAGCTGTGTTAGTGTGTTATAGCAAAAACAACAGAGAAACTGGTCAATCTATAATGGCTAACAAGTTTTATTTGGCATAAGCTTGTATCTATTATGTCACTTGCTTTTAAGGAAATGGGCTGGAGTCCATGAAAGCTTTGGTTTTAAAACTCCACCAGATTTTGTGTGTGTGTTTTTAATTGAAAATTACTTTTTCCTAGAAGAAATAATTATATTTAGTATATTTCTACAGCATAGAGCCTCCACATACATTGTCTCAGTGATCCTCATAATAAGTAGGATAAGTCAGTAATGTTAGATTTATATTATAGATTGCAAGAAGGCAGAGGGAGGATGATTTATGTGAGCCATTTAGGAAGTTTGCAGCAACTGTGAGATTTGAAACATGGATTTCCAGTTCACATCTTAACCGACGTAGCTATGGTATAGCAGCTGCAATGAGCCACATAAAATTGATGTCTGACTTTAGCACGTGAAAAATCACAAGTGCAAACTTCAAACGTTGTAGTTAGTCCATTTGTATGGATGCTTTTCATTAGTCTATCTTTATGAATGTTGCCTGCTTAAATAGCATGACCTGCTTGATCCAAAATTCAGAGTACATGAATGATGAAGTAAGCAGTACCTATAAAAGTTACTTTGGGGGCTATAACTCCCAGAATTCTTCATTCAGAGGATTGGAGATACAGCATGTCCCATGAAGTACTGTGTATGGCATAGAATGACACCCAAAAGATTCTGAGGCTTTCAAGAAACTGGCAGATGGACCTCTACAAAACAAGATGAAAATAATAGCTGAAATCTTGTTGTTTAGTGCAGTGAGTTGCAATACAGTAGGGTAATTGAATTAGTGGGGGTTTGGTGATTCAATTTCTTTGTAAGTTCCATTCATTCAAATGGGCCAACTCTAACTATGGCTTAGTATACTACAATAAGCTGCAGTTAAAGTAGGCCCATTGGAAGGAAGGGAATTTAGGGAGAAGTTGATGCACCAATTCCCTACTGATTCAATTAACCTGCTCTAGTGCTATGTGAAGCAACAGAATTTTAGCCAGTGACTGGTCCTTTTATAGGACATATGTAAATATGGTTGGCTGAGCCATAATCAGGTGTATCATGATGATGTAATTTACCAGAGAAAGGTGTGGCATACTAATCTGAACATCTTACAGTAGGACCTGACCGTTTCCAGGGCTACTAGACCAGCACAAATGCAGTATTATAAACTCTGGACTCCTCTTGTCCCCTACAATATTAGGAAATCTGCGTCCTTATTAGGCATTCAAAAAAGACAGATATACATTATTTTTTTTAAAAAAAGAAAAGTACCGGTATTTGGCCAATCTATTTTAGTCTCCACCAAATAATTTGTAATTTGATCATGTTGTGATTACGTTTCTTTTACTTAATTTGTTTGTGACTGTATTTTGTTGCAAGTAATCGGAAATATTTATATATATTTAAAGCCCACATAAGCATTCCCCCTGCTTTTGCCCTGACTCTGCAGGTTTTCAGAATATAAACTACAACCAGTTGGATGCATTGCTGAACATCAATGGTCTTCAAAGCAGGTTAGTTTTGCAGACTAGTTTTATGCGGTGGGAAATAAGAGAAGCCTCGTGATAAGTCTATTCTGGTAGAAAAATGTTCATGTAAAAATCAGTCAACTTTTTTGGAGAAATATTTCTTTAGAATGTTCAACTAGACATGAATTTCTGTATCTTCCCAGCTGAATTATGAGAAACACAGAGAGAGATTTGGTTGCAGCTAGAAATGGGTTTTGGGATCTTCTGGAGTTCAAATACCATAATTCTTCATTATGGCAATTCTTAGCTAGGCCAAGCTTCCTTCTCAGAAAGAAGACTGTCAGCTAGCAATAGGGCAGGAACAGGAAGCGTGGCCTAGCCAAGCCTCAAAGTTTTCTAACTTAGACCTTTCTGCCAGGGGCATCATATTGTTCATAAGGTTCCTGCAAAGTAGGCAGAACTGCCATAATAGAGAAGTGTGGTATCTGAAAATCCAGAAAATCCAATCCCTAGTTACAGCAGACTTTCCCAACCTGATGCTCTCCAGAGGTTTTGCTCTTCAACTCCTTTCTGTGCCAAGCCCCATGCAGCATGATCAATGGTCAGGAATACTGGGAGTTGTAGTCCAAAATCTCTGGAACAATCAGGTTGGGGAAACAGCCTGAAACATGTACAGTGTACAATCCAGCAAATGAACACTGCCTAGAAACTTCATATTTGTGATTTGCCAGCTGCTAGATAGTGACCTTTCTATACATACAAAGTCTTGAGCAGGAGGAAATAAAAACCTATAGACCTCTAGGTAGCCACACACGTGACTCACAGGTGGTATTTATCTGTATTACAGATTTTCAATTAAATTGCCATCTCTGGATGAGTTGTCCAGGTTTTATCCCAGGGGCCTAATAGAAAATACTGTACTCCATACTTGGATCTCCTTTCACTGTAGATTTTAGCAAACAGATGCCACAGGGGAGGAACTCACTCACATCACAGGGTGGAAGAAGTTTTCTTAATACCATTCCATTCAAATGCTATCATCATAATGAAACTCACAATTGAAACTGCTATTTGACTCACTAAAGGACATTGTTTGACTCATTATTTGTACAGCATGTAAAAAGGGCACATTGAGTGAAACATGAGCCATGTAAGTAGAATTTTAAAACAGAGGGGATTAAAAACAGATTTTAAAGGGGATTCCTTGTGATTAACCTGTTTTGTCTCTCACTATAGGATTTCCTGAGTGAAATGTGCCTCAGTATTTAACTTGCAAATTAAGCTTGTGTTTACCTTTTACTGACCAATCATAAAACAAAACACATGAAATTCAAGAAATGTGGATGAAGAAGAAGCACATACTATGACAAACTGATGTATTTCCCCACTGGAGGGAGCACCTATTCTAAAAATGTGCTAACCATGTTGTCTGGCTTAACCCTCGGTTTTACCAGCATCAGAATCCACATAAAGACTAGCTCAAGTGTTTGGGACTGATCAAAGGCTGACATGTGACACAATTCAGTTGAAATGGCTTGAAAGAAGAAGAAAAATGTTTCAATAAGCTGCTTTAAGCAATAAGCAATCTCTAAGACAGAGACTAGGGTTTTTAAGCACTTTATGATTAGTTGTCTGAATAGATCATGGAAGAATACAGCCAGGTGTAGGAAGGCTTGAATATTTTCAGGCAGATCAATCAAGACGGGCAGAACAAGACTGAAATCATGTATCTCTTTTAAAAAAGACACAGCCTGTTGCTTTGTTCTAACATGAGTTTTCCCTCAGGCTGCAAGCAAGAGCTTGACAGTTCCCTTGAAATCCTTAAAGCTCAAAACACTAGTTCTTCCTGAATGCTTTAGCAGGAGGGATGCAGATAAATAACAACAAGGGATTCTGATTAACAGAAGTCTTCATCCTGTTCATGTTTTCATGCCAAAGAGGCTTGTTTTTGAATTGATTATCACATTTTATGAATAATGTTCCTATCTCTATATAGATGAATAGAAACTTTTGGGGGTAGCTGTTAATGCATCATTTTTGGCCAGGTTGCATAGATGATACAGTTGTATATTTCTGCATATGAAAAATAAGAAACCATTCCCCCCCTTGTCTGCAAGAGGGGGGACGTATTTTCTGTTATATTTCACTTTTTTGAGGGTAATTTCTGGGCAAACTGCACAGATGATCTAGTTAAACTACAAGAGGTTGCTTTGTTGTATGGACAACAGGCATCAGACATATTGCTGGTGTGCTTTTGATCGGCCAGTTCTTCTATGCTAGCCGTGTGCATATGCTTTGCCTTCGAAAGGGCATAGAGACCAGTTTTGTTACAGAGGCATTTTGAATAACTTTTGTGGAAACTCTGAATGAAAAGGACTTATTTCTTTATCACACCGGAGACAAGAAATCTAACAGGGGCTAACAAACTTAACTAAATATGTCAAAACAGCCTGTGTCTTTGAACAAACAATTCAGAAAAATTAGCACTCATCCCTAGTAAACAATAGCCGAAATCTTCTTGGCAGTTGCATGATTTGGTTTCGGGAGGGGGGGTTGTTGGCTTTTCTTTTACATTCTGAAGGCTAAGAGACAGACAACGTCTCTCTGTGAATGTGAATATATGTATTTATGTGTATTGTGTTTCCTGTATCCACAATTCAAAAGGCCAGGCAATGGCCTGATATTGCTGCTCAATATTGCGCCACATTGCCAGCAGGAAAAAGGATGCCAGCCTTTATATAGCAAAGGGCAGCCTGAATGTTGACAACATCAATGGGAGCAGGCTAGAGCAGAGATTCCCAAGCTTGGGTATCTGAGATGTTCTTGGACTGAAAATCCTATAGAGGCTTGTATCTGCATGCTTTAATTAAGTTAGCCTTGTTCAGTCATTAAGGAAGTGTGTGGATTCCACACAGCTTCAAGATATCTTCCCCAGTCATTGTGTTGTACATGGATGCACTTGAAGAGAGGGAGGCTGCTGTACCAGCATAGCCCCTCCATGTTAGCCAACCCCACCATAAATTGTGGTTCATGCAGAAGTTATACGGCTACAACAGCTTCTCCTTCTACAGAGGGTCACGTTTCCAACAGTGGATGGGTGAGACTAGAACACATCCCTTAACATGCATGGCATCCACATGCTTCCTCAATGACTGAATATGGTAACACAGGTTTTCACATGTTGATTTGAAGGCCTAAAATGGCTTTATGTTGTTGTTGTTTAGTCATTTAGTCATGTCTGACTCTTTGTGACCCCATGGACCAGAACACACCAGGCCCTCCTGTCTTCCACTGCCTCCCGGAATTTGGTCAGATTCATGTTGGTCGCTTCAGTCACACTGTCCAAAAAAAATGGCTTTATAACCATGTCCAATTGCATGCAGATAGAGCTCATATGACTCAATCATCATTCCTGGTCATGGTTGCTCTATCTATCTATCTATCTATCTATCTATCTATCTATCTATCTATCTATCTATCTATCTATCTATCTATCTATCTATCTATCTATCTATCTATCTATCTATCTATCTATCTATCTATCTATCTA